GAAGTAGTGTGTGTGGATGTAGAAAATTGGGAGGAGGAAAGAGAGGCCCTAGACCGTGGGAATGAAGTGTCGGAATAGAGGTGTGGGGGTGTCTCTATGTAGGGCGAGGGGATGAGTGGTGTAGCTGTGTGGTATGAGGGTATGGGTTGTATATAGGTTAGTACAGCTGCTGTAAATTTGGTAGTTGGCAAGGGAATGTTACAGGTGTGAGTATGTTAAGTGTTAGTGCATGTCTTATGCGGAGAAGCGTGTAGTTTAGATATACAGGTTAAAAGTATAAGAAAGCTTCAAGATAAGGTGGGGGGGGGGGGTAAGGACAGTATGATATTGTATTTGAGTTGTTAGCATTGGGGGACGCCGATATTGGTTGTCGCTACCTAGAAAAAGTAAGTTGATCGCCGATAGTGGTGATGGTCGGGAGACTCCGACGGGAAGGGGTTTGGTCGCCGATATTGGTGACGGGAAAGGATGGTATCTGTGTGTGTGTGTGTGTGGGGCCTATTAGGGGTCGAGAGATAGACAATTTATTGGTGGTCGCCGATACTGGTGACGGGTGAGAATATTTGTACGTTTAGGATGACGTTGGGAGATGGCCACACATGGTATGCATGATATTTAAGATACCAGGGGTACATTTTAGTCCTATGTAGTCCCATAGTGATAACAAGGTAGGACTTAAGTTGGGTGATGGGGTACATATAGAAATACTAGGTTTCATATTTGTGCATATCATATTTGTAACTTAATTTTTACTGTATTAAGTTATATGAACTCACTCTCTATTATTCACAAATGATGTAGGAATGGAGTTGGGATCGAAGTTACTGGTTTTCGAGCCTAGCGTATAGAGCAACAAAATAAGGACCTTTATTGACAGAATTGAATGTGTAAGAATTGGTAGTAGAGTAGATAGTATGTCTGTTGATAGTGTATACGGTTGTATTTCACGTGATGTTACATGTATGATTGCAAGTCTATCTTGACTCTGAATAATAGATTGTGATAGTGTTTCTATGTGCATGACTGATTTGAAACGAAATTTTCGTATTTGATCATGCATTTATTGTAAACTACACCATTAGAAATAAAGAAAAAAACGGGGTATTACAATGCAACTGTTTTTTTTAATAAATAATTAAATTAAATTTTTAATTCGTTATAAATATTTTAATAAATGAAATTTAAATATTATAAAATATTTATTTCATTAAAAAAATGTAAAAAACTATAATATAATTAACTCAATGTAATTATCATAAGACAACTAATATATTAATGAACTAAATATTTTATTTCACTAAATTAAAAATTATGATTTTTGAGCAGAGCATTATGATAGTTGTTTTTAAGATAAGGTTATGCACACATGATTTAAAGTATATTTGTTGGCATGTAAATTTTATGTAGTGAATTACAAACTAAAAAATAATGTTGTGTATGATTTTATTATTATTATTTTTTTGCTACAATTTGGTTAATTACATTTTTTATTTATTTCAAATGTTTAGTTTCTTTATATTTTTTAACAAACACAAATAAAATAATCATATTATATTTAGATGTTTGAAACAAAATTTAAAAAATAATTTTGATTAATTAATTAAATTAATAAATTAATAATAATAAAAATTATGCATAATAATATTATTAATTTATTAATTATAAAATCTAATTAATTAGTTGAAATCTTTTTTTGAGTTATTTTTTAAAACATTAAAATACGATATAAATCATTTTAATTTTTTCATTAAACAAATAAAAAACTTAATAAACAAATTCTAACAAAAAAATTAAAAATTAAATTATCACAAGTGTCAAGTATCATAAATTAATCTAATAATTTGTCTAAAATATTTTTATCTATATAAAATTTATAAAACCATAAGACAATAATTTTATGTGCATAAAATTATAGTATAGGAGCTCAAATAATTGGAATACAATTTTTAGCAAATACAAATTTTAAATTTTCTTAATTAATTATAAATATTGATTAATTTCCCTTATCATTTATTATAGATTTTCAATTATTGTAATAGTATTAACACAAATAGACACATATCAACCAAACTCCAACTTATCAAAGTTCAATGCATTTAAATTTTTCTCCTAATTACTTGTCACATATCCATTAATTCAATTGATGTAAAAGTTTAAAACTTAAAAAAAAAAATTATTATCTAAATGCGGAAACGAACAATAAAATTAATATTTACATTCCTTACACAACAAATTAGAATGTCTAATAAAGATACGAGAATGTCTCTTCTACATTAGTTTATAAAAAAAGACAAACAATAATCAAAACAAATAAATAGATATGTTAGGGGATTAACCTCCACTAGCATTTGAAGGGGAGTCCGGAAGATGATTTACTTACAACTTTCTTACTGATCGGGATCTGAATCTAGATCTTGGTTTTCTTTATCTGAAATTGTTAATAAAAAGATGAGCTACACTTGTAATGCCCTGGAACTTAAAAGAGAGATAAAGACATGAATTAAATGCGGAAGTTAAATAATAGAGTTAGGATTTACATTCCTTACACAATAATTTAGAATGCTCAATAGGGTTACAGGAATGATCATTCTAAAAGAACAAGAAAAAAATCAAGAAAAAAATTAAAAGTAAATAATTAGGTATCCTATAACAATCTTCACTAGCATTTGAAAAGAGTCCGGGTGGTGAACTATTCACAACCCATTTGTTGATCGGAATATGGATCTTGGTCATCTTGATCTGAAATGGTTAATAAAATGGTGAGCTACACTAGTCCAGTAAGAATATCACACTACTCACCGATACAGAAATGAATGTTAGTAAAAATTATAAAATAACTAATAGAGCTCTTAAATTAAGTAAATTCATTTATTATAAATAATATCATTTATTGCATACTTACCGTAGCGATATTTTCAAAACTGATATATAGAGACAATAACAAAAATAATATCATAATCTCAATTCATTTATCATAAATAAAATCATCTATTGCATACTTACTGTAGTGATATTTCCAAAACTGACCTATAGAGGCAATAACACAAACAATATCATAATCTCATATTCAATTAGCTTGAACAACAACTTTTTCTTTTTATTTGTTTACTGGTATCCCTGAGGGTCCATAGAGATGTCATACCACGCGTGAAACCCACAATAAAACTTGTCAACTAACCAGTCGTCCCCATACCTCATCTGGTTTAAGCGCCAATAATACCATCCTTCAATAACTCATTCGGTATGAGGGTGAAACGAGTCGTTCCCATACCCCGTCTGGTATGAATGCCAAAAATACCATCCCTCAATACTCCATCCGGTATAAGGTAAAATGGGTCGCTCCCATACCCCGTCCAGTATGAGCGCCAAAATGCTAATCCCCGATACCCCGTCTAGTATGAGGCAATATTTACGGTAAGGTTCCCTATGTACCCGATCCGTCCACCATTTC